GGACAATTTTCGTTGAAGGACTACTTTGGTCATCCATTCACTAGTAGTTATATCAACCTTAAGACTGAATGTTCTTAGTAGTGACTCAAACTCCATGCTGAAGGATTGTAATGAGTCAGCAGTCTGATCAGGTTGAGGTAAATCCAGCAATTGTAGTACTAGATGTATGACAGTTTTCTCATTGCCAGCATTATTCCTAGGAGGCTGAACTGGGAAATTAGTGCTGTCGCTATTTTCATTTACATTTTCTACTACTGGTTCAGCTTCACCTCTAGTTTGGAGGCATGTTAACTTAGTGGCCTTAGGTATTGGGTTTTCAGAATCCACAGAGACTGTGGATAAATTGTCTGAGAACTGCTTAATTTCTGGTGGTATAATATTGGGTGAAGCTGTAGTGGGTGAAGCTTTATCCTTGTTGATTAAAGGATCTAATCTGGCTTGACATTAATTCTCAAAAAGATCCAGATCATCCATAACATTATCTACTTTATTTGAAGTACTGGCTAATTGTTCTGATTCAATTATCCTGTGTAAATGTTCCAACCTGCCTTGAGTTTCTTCTTCATATTGTGCTAGGTCAGACAGGAATGGTTCCACATCTTCAACTACTATGTCGTCGTCGTCGCGGACCTGATTTTCGTAAGATTTCCTATTTGCTTTCAATATATGCAATTGGGTTTGAATCTGTAACAGTGGTATTTTCAACCTACGATAATTAATTACAGGCTCATATAACAACTGTTCATATTGGTCGAAATCTCTTGTTGACGTTTGCTTGCTATTAAAGCACGCTTTGCTTTCTGTGGATTAGTCATGGTGACTTGTTAATTGGGCACCACTGGCTCATAAATTGTGAGCAAGTACTGATGGTAGCCTAGGGTAAAATTCTGCACTCACTAGACTGTAATCCTACCTCTACTAGAGGTTAGCACTTAAAATTAATACACATTATATATATATATATATACAATCATACACACTAATGATTTGAGTGATAAACCAGTGTCACTGGAAGTACCTTTAGGTTAGCTCTTCTATATCACCCTAGGATGGAATAGACACTAATTAATCACTCAAAGGTGTAATGATCATAAGTAAATTATTATATATACAACTCAACTCGAGTTGATAAAAATTACACCCAAAATAGGGTCTGCACCATTCATTAATGGTGCTAGGTTGTCCAATATAGTACAACTGACAATGGTAATAATGGGACTAGGATGAATAATAAATAGTTCAACTAGTCCCTGGTAATATCCTACCCTGTTGTGGGATGGCAATTAGTAAATATTATACTGTGATCACTAGTGCAATATATATTAAATAATTCTCTATTTTGGAGAAATAATATACACAATTATTGATAATAGCCTCTTAATTAGCCTCTATGAAACTTCTAATATTATCAAGAAGTATTAAATATTATTAGTGACCTCGCGAAATAAACTCCACAAAATTCGTAGATAATCTCTCGCGAAATTTAACACCACGAAATCCGTGAACAATCTCGCGACACAGCCACTAATTTGGCTGGCTTCAATATTAGCGCTGTCATTTCACAGAATAACACGCCACCAAATTTGTGGGTGTGTATGAAACCGCTGATGAGGCTGATCTGAACTGAGCGGGGCTCGTGAACTCGCTTGAGGCAACGCCGCCGTCTTTGACTGCTGGCCTTTGTTTAAATCACACTGCACTAGTTATTTAATGAATCCACTGGTTAACTGGTTCATCCGGTACTAAGATGACCAAATGTGGGTTCAAAGGACCAAATAATCCGGTTTCGAAGGTCCAAAGAATTCGGTTTCGAAGGACCAAATAATGTGGGAACCGACCTGTGAGATTTATATTTATTTAATTTATATGAATTTATATAAAATTTATATTTACATTAATTTGTATACTTCGATAGCAATTTGTATGATGATAAGTGGACTGTATTTCTGCAATAATCTCACAAATCGATCCTCTACACATTAGGGGGGTTTATATTAATTGAATTTATATATATGCAGCCAATCAAACTACAGTATTAGACTACATACATTGAAGAGGTTCCTTATCTTATTTGTACAGCAGGCCTTAGTCCACCAGGTATAACCAGGATGTAGACACCACATTTTACTCATGTGAGGTAGCTTCCATCACCCTGGTAACTGATGCACAAAGCATGCTTCCTCGTCTTGACCTGTCAAAAGGGCGCTAGCTGTAAAGCCAGAATCCTAATATATGACAGCTATATCAGAGAAAACACTGTACATAGAACCTTAAAGACTTGGCTTAATTACCTTTAGTTTGAGGCAATCTTATGCTCTAACTGGCTCACCCTATCTAATGACATTAATGGCCATAAATGATAGATAAATGGGTTTCGGTAGAACACTTAACTTGAATTTGTTGACAGCGTGTTGATGATGGTACACCTTTGGTTTCCATAACACTTCGTCCAAGTAAATTTAACAGGAGCCGAATTGCTCCCATGCCTCTGGTCTCAGTATAAACAATGGCTGCCCACTGCCTCCTCCCTGACGCCTGGCTTACATTGTCCAGATTTCAGAAAGTGATAGAAGGGTCACATTTACTCTATTTTAATTCTGATAATTAAGTTAATTTATATGAGATGTTTTTATGATGGTAAAGTCCAAAGACTAATGTATTTAAGAATAATTCCCACAATAATAGGGGGTGAATTTATAACAGTATGTGGAATGATATCCCGTTTTCTATAGACGGAAATTCCACTACAATTACATTTTCTATGGGTAACTTGTTTATACAATACAGCAGCAATTATTATCTGTCTGTATGATATTATTAAATGGTGTCGGATTTTCCGACAGGTATACAAAAAGGGTGACAGACAAGAAGCTCTGAACTACAGGCCAGTGTCCTTAACTTGTATACCACGAAAAGTGATGGAGAAGATCGTAAGAAAAAGTCTAGTAACACATCTGGAGAGAAGGGACTTCGTGACAAATCGCCAACATGGGTTCAAGGATGGTAAATCTTGCCTTACAGACTTAATAGAATTCTACGATCAGGTGACAAAGATTAAATAAGAAAGAGAAGGTTGGGAGGACTGCATTTTTTTTGACTGTCGGAAAGCCTTTGATACAGTCCCCCATAATAGGCTGGTGCATAAGCTGGAGAGACAGGCAGGAGTAACTGGTAAAGTGTTCCAGTGGATAAGGGAATACCTAAGCAATAGGAAGCAAAGAGTTACAGTGAGGGGTGAGACCTCAGATGGGCGTGAAGTGACCAGTGAAGTCCCACAGGCCTCTGTACTCGGTCCTATCCCTTTTCTGATATATGTAAACGATCTCCTGGAGGGTATAGGCTCATTCTCTCAATGTTTGCTGACGATGCCAAATTTATGAGAAGGATTAAAACAGAAGGACTGCTTGAGGCTGCAAGAAGATCTAGACAAACTAAAGGAATGGTCGAACAAATGGTTGTTAGAGTTTAACCCAAGCAAATATAATGTAATGAAGATAGGTGTAGGGAGCAGGAGGCCAGTTACAAGGTATCATTTGGGAGATGAAATTCTTCATGAGTCTGAGAGAGAGAAAGACCTGGGGGTTCATAACACGCCAGACCTGTACCCTGAAGCTCATATCAAGAGGATAACATCAGCAGCATATGACAGATTGGCTAACATAAGAACGGCATTTAGACACTTGTGTAAGGAATCATTAAGAACTTTGTATACCATCTATATCATACCAATCCTGAAGTATGTAGCCCCAGAATGGAGTCCATATCCAGTCAAGCATAAGACTGAACTGGAAAAAGTTCAAAGGTTTCCCACCAGACTAGTGTCCGGGCTGAGAGGTATGAGCTACGAGGAGAGACTACGGGTATTAAACCTCACGTCGCTAGAAGACAAAAGAGTTAGGAGGGATATGATCACCACGTACAAGATTCTCAGAGGAATTAATGGCGTAGATAAAGACAGGCTATTTAACACAAGGGACACACGCACTAGGGGACACAGGTGGAAATTGAATGCCCAAATGAGCCACAGAAATATTAGAAAGAATTTGTTTAGTGTCAGAGTGGTTGATAAATGGAATGCATTATGCAGTGATGTGGTGGAGGCGGACTCCATACACAGTTTCAAGTGTAGATATGATAAGAGTCCAATAGGCTCAGGAACCTGTACACCAGTTGATTGACAGTTGAGAGGCGGGACCAAAGAGTTAGCGCTCAACCCCTTCAAGCACAAATAGGTGAGTGCAATTAGGTGAATACACTCACACAGGGATCCAGCGTATTCTGTACTAGTAGCTATTCTGTTTCTGATATATGTTTACGATCTCCCAGAGGGGATAGACTCATTCCTTCTAATGTTTGGTGATGATGCAAACGTTGTAACATGGATTAAGATATAGGAGGACAGGTAGCGACTACAAGATAACCTGGACAAACTCAAGGAATGTTACGGGTTATTCATGCCCGTGCCACCATTTGGAGAGCTTAATGTTCATAAATCAACAATAAATCTCCAGGAATGGTCCCTCAAATGGCAACTGGAGTTTAATTGAAGCATGTGTATAGTAATGAAAACAAGTGTATGGAGCAATAGGCCGAACACAAGGTACCAATTGGGAGATGAAATCCCAACACCTCAGTTGGGATTTCATATCATAATTACATAAGTGAAGGTAATGCCTATCAAGCACAGATAGGCGAGTAGAACGAGGTGAGTACACACACACACAGACTTGCTTTACATTAGTCATTAACATAAATCCAATAATGGTCATTTAATGGAATTTAGGCATATGAATGTTACACCAAATATGTTAATGTAAAATGTTATTAGAGATGTTTTGTAAATATATTTTCAACTAACATTTCAGCTTCATATTTTGTATAAAATTTTCTCGACAGTTCCAAAAAGAGTACTTACAACTATGTCAAAAAAATAGCCCCCGAATTCCTTGAATGTAACACTAAAATATGACAAAAATTATGTTTAAACATAATTTTTCTAGGGTTGTAGGTTTGAGTGTAATCCTAGATGTAGAGTGGTTCTTCTCGCACGAACTTCAACCACCCCAAGACACCCTGCCGGACGACACCAGTGCAGCCACTCCACATCCACCATCCTGGCCGAAAGCATCACATCACAAGTCAACTGAGGACCTTCTGCGTCAACACCAGACTCCTCCAGAGCATCTCACACGAGACAACCTCCTCCAGGGGCTGTGGGGGGACTCGAGAACCACCTGCCGGGGACTTATTCTCGACCTCACCTCCAGCAGCAACACCACTCACCTCGCCCTCAGGTTCTCTGTTTTGACTTGTGAGAATGCTTGAATTTTATGCAAAAAACAGGCGTTCATTCAAATATATATATTTAAAATATGCATGCTTTCATGCATTTTCATGCATTTCATACATTTGTTTGTCTCTTCTCTCTATATATCCGCATTAATTATGCTAGGGCAATTGTAACACGATCATACACATGGTGTAGTTTATTATACCTAGTTTTATAATAATTTGTTTTCCTGTTATCAGTTTACTTACGAAACGTAGTCTATTGAGTTATGAATGAATATAAATTTTCAAGCACAATAAACGTGGATAATAACATTTTATTTACTTGGGTTCTACGACCCTTAAACCACTGTCCCCAAGAGAGGAAGACAGTTGCTCTATTGACCACACCATGAATAGCCTCAATTAAAAAATAATTCTAAAAGGATTCCATAATAAACTGCTGCCCAACTGTGGACGTTGAGAAATAACATCACATGTGGATGTGCAAAATACCCCCGTTGAAACGTAGAGGTGGAATAGGTACGCTGAGGGAGAACTCTGCCAACATCAAGGTCACAAGACTTTTCCTCACGCTTCCACTACATCTAAGGAACATAACTGGCCGGTCTCTCACAGTGTTCAATAGAGAACTTGACAAACACCTCCAAAGAATACCCTCTCAACCAGGATGTGATACATACGTCAGTCTGCGAGCAGGCGCGTCCAACAGCCTGGATGACCAGACAAACAACCAGGAGGCCTGGTCGGAGACCGAGCCACGGGGCCATTGATACCCGGAAGTTACACAAGGTAGACGGTGGTTCGAGGCTGCCCAAGTGAATGGAATATTATCCCGGTTTATTGTGGTTGACAATTTACATGACGTGGCCGTGGATTATCTAATTCCTTCACCATCTAGTAGCAGTCCAGGGAACGCTTAAAGTTCCAGTTAAGCAGCAGTTTTTTTTTTTTTACATGCAAGCATGCAAGGGAAAAACAATAAATACAATAAAACAATAAATGAAACAGTACACAACAAACAAAAAACCGCAGGCCAGAAGGACCGACTGCCCAACACAACAATTATCAAAACCGGAGAAGGTAACAATGGAGACATGAGATACACACAGCAAGACAAAACAGTAAATAATGTACAAACAGGCAAGCACGGCCAAAAAAAAACAATAAAACATAGTAACATTATAAAGCATTTAGCAGGAAAAAACAAAACAAGACAATCTCACCGGCCGGAAGGACCGACAACAACGCACAACATTATGACCAACATGTAAATACATAAAAAATCACAACATACAACAAACAATCACAACACTTAAAGCACGAATATAACACATAGGGCAAAGAAATAACACAATAAATGAATACACGAAGAAAAACTCACACCAAACTACCTGCTGCGCCCCAAACAAAGGGGGGAGGCACGGGCACAAACTACACAAGGGCAAACAAGCAGCCATAAGGGCACACAGGACAAGAGGAAACCACAGAAGTCAGGAAATCAGTAGACATACTTGTCCCTAAATAAACTCCTAGGTGTGGTGTTTGTGTGTTACTGAGGAAGTCTTGGTTGTAGGGTTGATATAAAGCCATTGCCTGGTTATTGACTTTAATAGTTAAACTGATACATGACTAGTAGCTTCCAAGCTGGTAGCGTCCTGTACGCTCTTTTTTTACCTTCCTGTACCGTCTGCTCCGCCGCACATAGAAAACGGATGGTACCATTTTCTGTGAACATGACACTAGGGAACAGAACATGAAACGCCTCCCAGTGCAACCACCGCCAAGGGTTGAGACCATCCACCGGGGACGCCATCTCATCCGGAACCCCGGCAACAAATATCCGCAAACAGGGGATCCAAATGGTATTACACCGGAGGCGAGTGATCGGCACACGCTCCCACGCAAAGACAGGCTCGTCACGAAATTTCCGCGGCTCCTCGTACAACGGTAACGTAGCAATCCTCTTCCAGTGACTCTCCGGCAACACGTCCCCCAGGTTCCCAATGCACATCCTCCGAGCACAGACCTCGGAGGATGGGGGACACCACAGGGGCACCAGCAGCTACGTGCACACCGTCGGACGACAGCCGGGAATCCGATCGGCGTGGATCCTTCCGCAAAGTCACCACCAGGCCACGCCCAGCACCAACATCCCCACCATCCCTGGCAGCGGAAGCCACCACCCCCCACCGCGGAGAGCCCTCTGGTGGAGGTGCAGAAGGCGCACGCGAGACACAGCCACCGTCACCACCGTCACCAGCAGGCACATGGACCTCCACCTCCACTAACCGTGGAGCCAACAGCGCATTCGGACCCACACCGTCCACATCCGAGGATCCACAGTCACTAAAATCCCCAACATCGGCCCAGGCGGACGACGAATGCCTGGAACGTTTGGGCTCCGGCCGAATATCGTCAGAGCCGGAAGCAGACCCAGAAACACAGGCACCACCAGCCGAACGAACCGACGCCCGACGCAGAACGGCAGCAGCCTCTACCACAGGGGGAACCGGACCACACACAGTAGGAGGCTCCGCAGCCATCCCAGCACCCAGCACAGGAGGGACCCGAGGGGAGGACGCAGGGCCAGTTTCCACAGCCGAAGACGAGGAAGCAGACGGCGACGCTCCACAGGGATCACCAGGAAGGTCCACGGGAACGGCAGGGCCAGAGACATTCGAGTCACTTCTGGGGTGTGAGTTTTCAGTTGCATATTGTCCTGGGGACCATTCACTTGTTCGCATTTGTGTTCCTCACGTGTGCCCCAAAGAATGAGGTGATTTGGTAAAATGCTATGCCCAAGATTACTATCCGAGTGCCGGCGGTGGGGTGGTTCAAATAGCCTCGGCTATCACCTCATTATGTCCGGTCGTGATGGTCAAGTGGATTAAGGCGTCTTGTACATACCAGTTGCGTGGCATCTGGGAGTATGGGTTCGAGTCACTTCTGGGGTGTGAGTTTTCAGTTGCATATTGTCCTGGGGACCATTCAGGCTTGTTCGCATTTGTGTTCCTCACGTGTGCCCCAAAGAATGAGGTGATTTGGTAAAATGCTATGCCCAAGATTACTATCCGAGTGCCGGCGGTGGGGTGGTTCAAATAGCCTCGGCTATCACCTCATTATGTCCGGTCGTGATGGTCAAGTGGATTAAGGCGTCTTGTACATACCAGTTGCGTGGCATCTGGGAGTATGGGTTCGAGTCACTTCTGGGGTGTGAGTTTTCAGTTGCATATTGTCCTGGGGACCATTCAGGCTTGTTCGCATTTGTGTTCCTCACGTGTGCCCCAAAGAATGAGGTGATTTGGTAAAATGCTATGCCCAAGATTACTATCCGAGTGCCGGCGGTGGGGTGGTTCAAATAGCCTCGGCTATCACCTCATTATGTCCGGTCGTGATGGTCAAGTGGATTAAGGCGTCTTGTACATACCAGTTGCGTGGCATCTGGGAGTATGGGTTCGAGTCACTTCTGGGGTGTGAGTTTTCAGTTGCATATTGTCCTGGGGACCATTCAGGCTTGTTCGCATTTGTGTTCCTCACGTGTGCCCCAAAGAATGAGGTGATTTGGTAAAATGCTATGCCCAAGATTACTATCCGAGTGCCGGCGGTGGGGTGGTTCAAATAGCCTCGGCTATCACCTCATTATGTCCGGTCGTGATGGTCAAGTGGATTAAGGCGTCTTGTACATACCAGTTGCGTGGCATCTGGGAGTATGGGTTCGAGTCACTTCTGGGGTGTGAGTTTTCAGTTGCATATTGTCCTGGGGACCATTCAGGCTTGTTCGCATTTGTGTTCCTCACGTGTGCCCCAAAGAATGAGGTGATTTGGTAAAATGCTATGCCCAAGATTACTATCCGAGTGCCGGCGGTGGGGTGGTTCAAATAGCCTCGGCTATCACCTCATTATGTCCGGTCGTGATGGTCAAGTGGATTAAGGCGTCTTGTACATACCAGTTGCGTGGCATCTGGGAGTATGGGTTCGATCACTTCTGGGGTGTGAGTTTTCAGTTGCATATTGTCCTGGGGACCATTCAGGCTTGTTCGCATTTGTGTTCCTCACGTGTGCCCCAAAGAATGAGGTGATTTGGTAAAATGCTATGCCCAAGATTACTATCCGAGTGCCGGCGGTGGGGTGGTTCAAATAGCCTCGGCTATCACCTCATTATGTCCGGTCGTGATGGTCAAGTGGATTAAGGCGTCTTGTACATACCAGTTGCGTGGCATCTGGGAGTATGGGTTCGAGTCACTTCTGGGGTGTGAGTTTTCAGTTGCATATTGTCCTGGGGACCATTCAGGCTTGTTCGCATTTGTGTTCCTCACGTGTGCCCCAAAGAATGAGGTGATTTGGTAAAATGCTATGCCCAAGATTACTATCCGAGTGCCGGCGGTGGGGTGGTTCAAATAGCCTCGGCTATCACCTCATTATGTCCGGTCGTGATGGTCAAGTGGATTAAGGCGTCTTGTACATACCAGTTGCGTGGCATCTGGGAGTATGGGTTCGAGTCACTTCTGGGGTGTGAGTTTTCAGTTGCATATTGTCCTGGGGACCATTCAGGCTTGTTCGCATTTGTGTTCCTCACGTGTGCCCCAAAGAATGAGGTGATTTGGTAAAATGCTATGCCCAAGATTACTATCCGAGTGCCGGCGGTGGGGTGGTTCAAATAGCCTCGGCTATCACCTCATTATGTCCGGTCGTGATGGTCAAGTGGATTAAGGCGTCTTGTACATACCAGTTGCGTGGCATCTGGGAGTATGGGTTCGAGTCACTTCTGGGGTGTGAGTTTTCAGTTGCATATTGTCCTGGGGACCATTCAGGCTTGTTCGCATTTGTGTTCCTCACGTGTGCCCCAAAGAATGAGGTGATTTGGTAAAATGCTATGCCCAAGATTACTATCCGAGTGCCGGCGGTGGGGTGGTTCAAATAGCCTCGGCTATCACCTCATTATGTCCGGTCGTGATGGTCAAGTGGATTAAGGCGTCTTGTACATACCAGTTGCGTGGCATCT